TCGGAAGAATACCTTCTCCTGATCGCACTCTGCTGCTAGCCGTTCCGCCCGCCTCCCACCCTCCGGCCCCGTCCCACACAGCCCACCGCCCCTCGCTGTGCGTGCTGTACAGCCGCACGCAGGCGCAGAGCCTGGGCCATGGGTACAGGAGGGTGGCACACACAGGATCACTCCCTTTTACTTTGTTTCACCCAGTCACAGACCTTCCAGCACCTGAATACTCCTCCGCCAAGTGGTTCCTTCACCCCAAGCAATCCGCGCAGCAGCAGCCAACCCAGAAGTCTCCACGGTGGGGGGCGACGCGTGCACCCCAGTTTGCAGCTGGGACCTGTGCTCAGCCCTAGAGACTGAGAGAAAGGCTCTGGAAAGGCGGGCTGGCTCCTGCAGCCAGCACCATGCCCTTGTCTCAGCCAGTTACTGTACAAAATGGACAACACACACGCATTATTTACAGCCTGTTTTTCACATGATGGAGCAGCTCTTGGCTCGGTCTTTCCTGATCTCTGTGTCATTCAGTAAGTCCGTCCTGCCAGGCATCTGTGATGCCCGCTTCAGTCCCCGTTTGGAGTTGCTGCGCTTCAAGTTCTTGTGCACCCTGTTGACCGAGGCAAGCGTGGTCACGTGAAACACATCCCGTACGCTGTTCTCCGAGACCTTGGAGGAGCACTCTGCATAGGCCACTGCCCCAATCTGCCGTGCCAGCGCACTGCCCTGCGGTCCAGAGAGAGTGGGAGGAAGAGGGAAGACGGTTAAGACACCAGCACTCCGCAAGGAGCATCCTTTCACATCACCGGCAGCCCTGGCTGTGCTGGCAGCCCTATCAGAGCACCGCGGCACAGCGGCTCTCTCACAACGTTTACTCATCGCCTCTGTAAATGAAGTGCAAGTGCCTGTGAGAGCACCAGACGTGCAGGTGGCCTCCCAAGCAGCCAGTGCTACTGGGCGCTGGACCCTGAACCACTTGCGCTTTCTCTCTAACGTGGTGTCACCCCTGCAGCTGAGGGCCTGGACAACCCCCCTCACCAGGGCAGTCATCTGGGACCTGCTCTGCACAACAGGGAGCCAGGCACAGAGCAGCCCAGGGCGCGGCCGCCGCCACACTGCACCACTGGGTCTCCGGGCCAGCCTGGAGACACTGCTGGGTCCACTGGTGGCCAGAGCATCCCAGCAGCAGACCCTCAGACCCCCCACTGCGGCTTGCCCCCCACTCCGACAGGGTTGCCCGACAGAGAACCTGAGCAGCAGAGTCGATCGGAGCAGAAAAAGCTGCACTGAATTAGGAGATGCAGAAGCACAACACTCCCCTTTAGTCAGTCCAACTTCTCAAATCGGACATCTACACCACCTCTGAGGAAAGACTTCTCGGCTACTAACCAGGAGGCTGGACAGCAGAGCATCAGAAATAAGTCAAGGTCTGCCAGAGCTGGGGAAGAGTGCTGTGAGCACGAGCAGCTCAAAGTCTGTGAGCCAAGATCAAACCAGCTTCAGGCCAAGACCTGGGCACAGTGGGTCATTTGCTGCTGAGCCTCCTCCTACTCGTAGGTCCTGCAGAGAAGTCCCCACCTCACCTCCCCGAACCCGGTGGGGACGGCTGCTGAAACACACCTGCTCGTGCGTCACAGGGATGAGGCGCTGCTTGGAGAGCTCCCGGAGCGTGTTCAAGTCTGTCCGCATGTCCAGCTTGCAGCCGACCAGCACAATCTTCGCGTTGGGGCAGAACTCCTGAGTTTCCCCTTGCCACTGCAAAGGAGACAAGAGGGAGAAGGTGCTCAGGGGCTGCTGGTGTACGAGACACTTCAAGGGGCCGCTGGTGTACGAGACACTTCAAGGGGCCCAGCGGCACCTCCACGTCACGTTAATTTTGGCAGCAGGCAGCCTGCAAAAGGGTCAAGGTTGGAACAACCAAGGCAATCACAGGGTCTCAGCTCGTCACTCCCAGCCCCTTTCCAATGAGGCCAAGAGCCCCATCCAAAATCCCCCAGCCCTGGAGGGAAGCACAGGCCAGGAGAGCCGTGCCATCAGCTCCTACCAGACAGCATCATCCAGCCGAACACCTCCATCCCTCACCGCCACGGCAGAGCCCACGAGTCCGGTCCATAGCTTCTCCTGCACCCACCAGCAAACGGCACTTCCCTCTGGCACAGAGGAACGGCGGCTGCGGCAGCCCGGGGTCCCAGCACCTCCCGACCATCAGCACGCGCTGCCAAGCCGCCCTGGCCTGGCTCGTCTCTGCACAGGACCTGGAATTGGACCAGTCAGGGTACCAAGACTGCTACTGGTAGCCACTGCAGTGCCGCTTTTAGGTCTCCTGCCTCGGACCTGCGGTGCCCGGTGCCAGCACTGAGGCTGGTTTTGGCCCCGCTGCAGCCTGCGTGCCCAGATTTCAGGAAGAGGGGAAGGGGCACGGGCAACGGCGGGCACCATGGCCAGCGGGGGCTCTCAGTGAGGACGCAGGCCGGGAGCGGCTCCGGAGACTGTGCTGAGGATGGGGAACACGGGGACAGCCAGCTTTCAGTGTTCTGCATATAACGTGAGGCTCTAATGGGATCGGGTTTGGAAAGCAGGCTCCAGAGGCCAAGACCGTGCGCTCTGGTGTGTATGGCTTCTCCGAACGGAGGTCACAGCTCTTCAGAGCCCGGTTAGCTCATCGGGGCACTTTAATAACTGCCACAGCCAAGGATGGGAATGGTTGGAGTGCCTCTCGGATAACTTTATGCTCGCTTGTTCCAGATATGCCCTGCAAACCTGTTAAATCTAAGCGGCAGTCGCCTGTGCTAGGCCACGGGAGAACGGTCCAGGGTACGACTGTGGAAAAATAATGGCCACACAGTCTGGTGCACAGATCTGGGACTCCACCGGTCAGCCTCGCTGGACCTTTTGAACCACCGTGAGCGGGGAGCTCTTTGCACGGCACACTCGTTATTTGTTCATTATTGGGAGCCACATGTTAAAGACATTAAGACATTCAGCTACAGCCAGGGAAATAAGGAATTGAAGCAATGGAAGGAGAAGGCCAGGGCAAACGTCCACTCCCTTCGCACCAACGGTCCCTTTCAGAACTCCAAAAACGAATGTCCAATGCAGCTAAGTGTCCGCAGCAGGGAATAAAACCACCGCCTGTGACCTCCCCCAGGGGAGACCTGTGCAGCCCATCAGCGCGTCAACACCCTGGCTACTTATCTAGTGTTTCCGAGTAGAAGGCAGATGATAAACAGAGATTACCCCCAGCTAAAGATGTCACTCGGAATTAGCAATTTCCTGCTACGCTAACTGATAGTTCAGCGTATACCCTAGGCAATTAGAAGGGGAAAGAAAACCAAGCCCGCAACCCAGTGTCCATACCCTGGTGGGGAAAGGAAGTGCCAAGAATGACCCAAGCTTCATTCAACCAACATCAACCACAGCAACCGCAAAATACAGAAGAATCTTATTTTTCCACCAGGAGGTGGGCTCCAGTATCTTCAGCATGAAGCCCCTTCCCTGCTGCCACGGACATTTGTCCACCAGGACTCAGGCGCATCCCCAGCCCGGGCAGCACGCTGGGCTGCACAGCTTCTGGGAGATTCCTGGTGTCACAGCCACACAGCCTCAAGGGCTAACACACCCGCAAGGGGAGGCGGATGCCGCTCTTTTGGAGCTGGAATTCAGGCACCCTAATTTACCTGAAGGATGAAACTCCTCGAAGGGATTGAGCTGTAGGGTCTGCCCCTACCAGGCGGAGGTCACGGCTGTCTGTAATGCCATAGGGCTCCCCGGTCTGTGGAGAGAGGTGCGACCCTCTGCGCACACGACTGGCACCTTAGGGACCCTAAGATTTGCTGCGCTATCAGGGCTTGTCAGAATGAAGGCAGCACCCCACGGAAAACCTGCTTTGTACGAAATGAAGAGCTGCTTGTTTGCATTCTCCTCCTTCCCTTCAACTGTACATGCTATACAGGCAGCCCAGGCATCGGAAGGGCAGCAGTAATAAAGATTTCCTCTGCTGAATTAGCATTTTTGCCTGAGGCTTGAATAGTGAGTGTTATTTTCCTTATACACCTGATAGCAAAAGCTAAAAGCCATTTCAGCTTCATGGTGTCTTAGGAATTTTCCTCACCTCCATAGGCTGCAAGCCTGCACCAAAGGAAACAAGGCATCTACTCAGAGGCACTTAAGAAATCCCCTGTGATTTAGGGTTTATTTTAAGTCACCGTATCTAAAAGACGTTGCCTAACAGTACTCAAAGCATCTGTGAGGCTGCACAGGGAAGACCTTGCACTGAGCACTGCGGACTCACATGAAGAGCGTGCAGAGAGACATAAATAAGTCCCAACCCCAGCCAGTAATTGGGTTTGCATCTCATTAAGGTGTAAGCGATTTGCTTGCATTATGATTCTGCTGACTCCCAAGCTGAGCAGTGAATTCTTTCGGTCCACCTGAAACACGCCTCCCTCCACTCAGCGCACTTGGTGCCCGGGACCTGCTTTGGAAACGAACACCAAGCCACTGCCCAAGCTATCCGAAGGGCCTTTGTCCCCTCACCAGGACACCTCTGCGACACAGACCCACTTCTCAGCGCTCCCAGCAGCACATGCCGCAGCACAACATTTGGCAAAATGCGGAGAGGCCAAGAGGGCAGTCAGTACAATGTGCCTCGTTCGGACAGTGGCCAGTCCAGCCCCGGTCGCCTGCGGCTCCCTGGGGAGAACAGCTACAGGAATCGCTATTCTGTAGTGCTTTTCACGCCTCGGTGTCTCAGAGAGCTTCACAAACAAGATGCCAGCCAGGAGACTGCAGCCACCAGTGAGCTCTCTGCAGCTTTGCTGCGCGGCGGTGGGAGCTCACGGAAACCACAGCTCCCTGAATTTCATGGAAGGAAGCAGGGTACAGCCAGGACCACGGGATGCAAGTGGCCAGGCGGCCATTGACCCTCTCCCCTGAGCAGCACCCTGAGTTGCTGGACTTCATGCCATCTCGGAGGAAAGCCTCGCATGGGAACCTCTCCTGGGGTGCCACCTACTCCCCCAGAGCGTGGCAGGCAGGGACCTACTGGGAGGCCAGCCAGCGGTGCTCCACAGCGGATCCCCAGCCCTGCGGGGCTCTCCGGGACCTGCCAGACCTGCCAGCTGAAATATCTGCTCAGCTGAAAGGTGCTAACCTGCAGGTAGAAAATGCTCGGCTGCTGGGGCAGAGCACGGCCAGTCAGCTCTGCCAGGGCAGACGGTGCTCAGGGCCCTGCGCGCTCTCCAGTCCAGTGGCATTGCGCCATCTCACGTTATTCATTCGCGGGCTTGAAATTCAGTGCCACAGCTCATTATTCTTGTTGTCAAGCTATAGGGAACTGATTGCTGTCTTTCTTACTGTGCAGATGCTGAACTGAGGGGACAGCCAAAAAACTGAGCTCTCTGCTTGCATGGAAACAGGCACCAGGGGCCACTTCTCAACTGCTGCAAGCAATTCACAGCACACTCACTGGTGGTTACGCTAACGAGAGATGCACAACGCTTTCCAAGGTCTTATTGAAAAACAGAACAAAGGCCCTACATTTCTCTCTGTCCCCACATTTGTATGTGTGCATATGCACAGACCCCCCCTCGTGCTTCAGGCTACCATGAGCTACACCATTCACCGGGCTCCTTTCAAATGGAAATATCTTGCTTTCTGCACAGACCACGTAGCAGCCGACCATCTTCATCTGAGCACGCACACTCCAGCCCAGGCTTGGCCACTGGGCCAGAGCTTTTAGCCCTGACGACAGCCTGAGGGAGCCCAGGGTGGCTCCACGGGCTGCTGCAGAGGACCCATCTCGCCAGCCAGAGGGCACGCGGGCACTCACCTTCTTGAGCACACTGTCCAGGGTCTCTGGGCGGCTGATGTCAAAGCAGATGAGCACCGCATCCGAGTCCGGGTAGGCCAAGGGACGGACGTTATCGTAATACGCTGAGCCTGCAGAGAGGAGTGGGAGGAGAGTGGTGAGCAGAAAGTGTCACCCCACTGCTTGTTACCTACCGGGCAGGCTAGGATCCCCAGCCTCTCTGCCAGGCAAGGAGATCTTAAATTACAGTAAGAACGTGAGACATCATTGCCACATGATGCAGACTGCTCTGCTGGAGATAACAGATGTTGACCCAAGCTTTTGACCAGTGACCAGACACCATTAGGTTCAGCAGAGTTTGGTTTGCAGAGGATTTGGTCCCTTCGTTCAGGCGTGGAAGTCAGAGGTTTTGTCCTTGTGCTCTTACATTTACCCCTTTGCAGAGTGGAAATAAATGCAAGTTTTGCATCCCTCTCCCTCCCTAGTAAGCGTCTGGCAAGCAAGAGGCGGTGGAGCTGTGCTGCCAGGGCATGCTGGCTCGCTGCAGACCAGGCAGCTCCGAAGGGCTGTGATACCACGGAGCAGCACATGCCTCCCTCCGCCACCTGCGTACGTATCCTATTACTTGTCATGCAACTGCTGTACCACTAACGGTGGAAAGGTGTGACTGAGAGAAGACAGGGAATGCTGCTGCTATTTTTTATCCTCTCTTGCTATCTTTATACAGGAGATCTGGCTCACGTAGACTGTGAGAATTTAAGACAGGTAAAAAAAGAATTGCCTTTTGCTCTGGATTCGTGCTGGAAAAAGTCAGACAGATTCTTTTTGGTGCATAAAAGATGTGACAGGATTTGGTGAACAAGCTGTAAATTGGAGGGGATGATTCTGTATTCTGCAGGATTTGTCAGCGAGCAGGCAGAGAGCCCAGCCTGAATCCCACACAGCTCCCGCAGCGCACACGCGTGCGCAGACGTGCACGCACACCTTCGACACAAGTTTCAGGCGTTGAAGTCATTGTCCCGCAATGGGTTTATCTGAAGAGCATTCTGTGTGAGATTGTAGATGCCTCAGTAAACAGTAATGGAGCAATCAGCTCACTGCTACTTAAAAACACTATTTCGGTTTTATATTTGGCTTTACAATGGCTTAAACTTCCTGGAGGGATGAGAAGCAGATGTTTATTTATGAAAAGGAGAAGCAGAGACACCAGAGTCCTTGTTGAATCTGCCTCCTCCGAAAGACGGCTCGCCCACCCCGAGGCCGAGGAAACCGGACGCGCTTCCTGCCCGGGCCCTTGGGACCCCCGCGCCCGGCACTTTCCCACCCCGGGAGGAGGCTGGAGCACCCAGCCCGGGTGTCAGGTGGCTCCCTGATGAAGTTCAGCACCTGATGAATTATGGATGATGGTGGCTTATGTTTCCGGGAGGATGGGAATCTGCCTGGGATGAGCATGAGAGGAGAATGGGCTGATTCTCCGCAGGGGCTCCGACCCTGGCTCTCGTCTGCACGGGGGCTCACGACTGCTGCACAGCACAGAGGGGGGTACAGCCCCTCCAGCACAGCTCTGCACACCAGGGGCTTTGCAAACACCCCAGATCCCTCTGCAAGATCAACCAGGAGAGCCATGACCACTCCGTCCTCTGCCCAGAGCCCACACGGGCAGGCGGAGGGCTGCGATGTGTTGTCTTCCCAAACCCTGCCCAGCTCCAGAGACCGGCCACCCACTCTCCCCTCGACACCAGCTCACAGCAAGATACCAACGGCAGCCGCCGCCGGGACCTCCGCAGTGCAGAGCTCAGGGCACGCTCCAACCAGCGCAGCCCCAGCTGTGCCCCACCACTCTCGGGGAGCCTGGGGCAGGCAGCCGGGGACTCGGTTTGCATTTGGATTCGCAGAAAAATTGCCCACTGGTACCTCCAGCTCTTCCAGCCAGCCCCGCTGCTGCCAGCCCGCAGGAGAAAAGGCACCTGCACCCCCTGCTCTCATCAGGGAGAAGCCAGAGCCCGGGTCTCTGTCCCTGCAAAGCCACCGGGAAGAGAAGCAGTTGGGATCCAGCACAGAAGAAACAGACCCTGATCTCTGCAGAGCCCAGCCCTCCTCCTAGAGGGAAAGTCACGTTCCCTGCATGGAAAGGAGCTGGTCCCTGCAGTGCCCTGGCCCGCGCTGGGGACAGGGGACACAGGCTGGTGGCACAGTGAGCCAGGGCGACCCTGCGTCCCAGGCGCGGAGATTTCTGACCCCGCTTCAGGCTCAAGCTGCTTCAGTTCGTGCCTGGCAGAGCTGGCAGCAGTGAACCGCCCCCTCCACGCTCCCCCCGCACAGCAAGGTGACCCAGCTCCCACCGAGGACGAGGCCGCTTTCAAAGGCAACGCCAAGCCCAGCAGTGCCGAGCTCCCCTTTGGACTGAGTCTTCAGTCTGGCGCCTGGTGCGGGTTTACCTGGTGGGATGCGAGATCCAGCACCGACCTGCATGCTTGGATCTGCCGGGTCCCTTATCGGAGCCATGCCCTCTCCCCCATGCACGTAAGGGCATCTGCCTCCAGACAGGGCCCCCAGCGCACGCTGGAGGAAAGCGTTCCCACACACGTCCTCTCCCTGCAGCCCTCAGCTTTACAGAAACGCTGCAGATAAATCTGCCCCCTCCCAGCCCAGGAATGCTCCTTTTGTAGAGGTGGTTTTGGCTCCATCCAGCACAGACATTGCCACAGCAAACTGTATCATAGCAACCTGCTGCTCCCCTCCGCAGCCAGCCAGCTCCTCGCAGAGAGCCCGCACGGCTATCCCGGTTATCCCGCAGAACCGCCGCCGTCCCCACCCCGGTGCCAGCAACAGTGCTCTCACCACCCGGGACTACTGGAGGAAAGGCCAGAGGAGGTGAGGGAAGGGATGCACCAGGTCAAGAGCCTCATTTCCTTAACGAGATCAAAATTGCCGTCATACTCATTAACTTTCTGCTCCAGCTCCAAAGCACAGGAGCCGCCCCGGCACCTTGGCTGGCAGCTCAGCTCCCCAGCGGCTCCGGCAGCGGGCGGCAGCCAGCGCTCCGGCCTCGGCCCAGGAGCCTCTGCCCACCCCAGGAGACGAAGGAGAAACGGACGGTCAGCGCTGCCCGGCGGGGCAGGAGAGCTGCTGTGCACCAGACTCGGGTAACCTCCAGCTTTCCTTGGAGATGCCTCTGCGGAATCAGGCAATTCCATTTGGGGGATTATTCTTCTAGTTTTTGCATCTATTATTTTTTCATTGAGTACAACAATTAAAAAAAAAAAAAAACCAAACCACAAAAGCCTCAGTTCCCTCAACTCCAGGTCTTCAGTTTTATTGATTCTGAGCACTCGACACCTTTCAGATATTCCAGCAAGACACCTCGGAGACCCACAGTCTGGCACTTCCGAACGCACACGCACCCGAGGCTTGTGTGTCTGCAGATCCAGCCCTCCTTTACCGCATGAGTCATTCTCCCACTTGGCACCCAGGTCTGCAAGAAACAGGACCCGTGTGCATCTGTTCATGATTAAAGAGAGAAAATTGGAGCAAGCCAAAAACCAGCTTAAAAATAAAATCCACGCAGTTGTTGTCTGAAATTCAGGGGCGGATACAGCCATGAGTAGCTCCTCTTTCTTATCAGCTGGCAACCGCTCAAAATGCCTGGCACCGGGACTCAGAGACGCCGCTCTTGGGCAGGGTACTGAAATGTGCTGTTTCATCTATACCAACATAGCGTTAATCTTCATTTGTTCCTTATTAGCTGTTCTGAGAGATAATGAGCCTCCTCACACGGGCACCCTCCATCCAACAACAGCACAGTACAAACCAGGAAAGCAAATACGCATGCAGAGCCATGATCTGCTCCGCGAGGGGCTCCCGCCACCCCAGCCAGCCCTGGCCAGGAACAGAGACAAGCACTGCCAAGACCTACATTTTTCAGCATCGCACTCCTCTCGGAGGGCTCACTGCAAACTCTCCCCATAGAGCCGGCACCGCTGCGGCGCACGCTGCTCTCTGCAGGGACAGCCAAGAACATCCGTCACAGAATGAAGCAGAAATTCATCCCAGCTTTCTGGAGTGCTGCATCGGCAAAGCCAACGAGCCCCGGGTTACCTCCCCGCACAGCCGTGCCAGGCGAGCAGCGGCCCTGAGAGACTGCAGAGGATGTTCTCTTTCCTAGACGAACCCACCGCCAGTTCAGCCAAGCCTTTCTCCGCAGGACAAAGCTGTCAAAGCAGGACCAAGGTGCAGCTGTCTCAGCGTCCTCTCCCCATGCATGGCACGAAGCCTGTACCGCGTCTCAGCCAGCATCAGACACCAGGGGACTAACCCCTCCGCTGCCAGGGGTCCCAATCACCCCTCACCGAGCTTCCCCAGCCGGTGGCCCTCCAGTGCTTCCCAAGACGGGGGCTCAAACCCTTCGGAGCTGCTGGGTACCAGCACACTGGCTCAGCGTTTCCTGAGGTTAAGCAGGGCTTTCTGGAGCTGAATTCACAGCTCCAAGTGGCCTTTTCTGGCAAAGAAATTTATCTGAGCGACTGCTTACTCGCGGCAAAGGCCCTGCGCGCAGAGCACGGCTCTGAGCCCCCCTCTTGCCTCCCCAGGCCGGGCAGGGATTCCCCGGGCAGCTGCAGCAGCGGCCGGGCGTGGGAGCAGGACGCTCGCCTTCCGTCACCCCGCGCGTTCCCCACATGAATGGTCCAGACCTGGTGAAAATTACATGGGGCGCCAGTGGACAGAACGGCTTTCCCCATCAGTCATCCCTCTGCCAGGGCAGATGATGATGAAGGTGTTAATAATATATTTTATTTTTATCACACCTTTAAGACTGAAAACAAAACCTCCGTACAGTTCACAGACGTGCTGGGCAGGGAACAACGCACCCAGCTGCTCCTGGATCGGACTGCAGCCATGCAGAACGCTGCCGCCGGGGAAGGGGGCTGCAACGGCCCGGGCAGCGTCTGGCGGTGCCAGCTGGGTGCCCCCCACCCTGCCCCTCACCCAGCCCCACCCCAGAGGCTGGGGTAAGGCTTGGAAGGGGCTCTCCGGGGCGAAGGCAGCCATTTGCATGAGAAAGGCGCAGTCCCATGTCACAGCCCGGCTATTGTCTCCTCCCAGGGCCGCCGAAGGGAAAGCACAAAAATGC